AGGATCAGCCAAACCTATTATTAAAATTAAGTGCACATCCACAACCCCTGGATATACTTAATGTTTCATCTATTACAAATGTGTGTCAGCCATTCACAGCTACGGTAAGTCAAAATTACAACTACAGCCATAGTCACAGCTGTAATAACAGCCACATGTATAGTTAGAGCACTAGCTATAGCCATAGTCACAGAACCACCCATAACTACGGCTATGTTCCTATAATTACAGTGACGCTTCTGCATAAACATTCAAAGTGTAGAGAACAAACTAGACTGCATTAGTTAGGTTAGCATTAGCTGCAATAATTAACTTGTTTGAGTTACCAACCATGGCCATGTACTTTTTTTTTTCACTTTTTTCAGTCACCAAGAACAACAATATATTGCAAGACATGACACTGAATGAAATCAAATAAATTCTGAACAAGTTTATCTTTACACAGAATTAGCATAAAAACAAACATTTGTCATTAAGTCAACATAACAGCTGAACTGTTACAAAACTCTGACACATGACAACTACTGTGAGGTCGGCTACCATAGCAGCCAGGCTGTGGGTTAGCAACACAGTGTGTGACTACTAACACTGTGGTCACAGCAAGTTGCTTTAGCTATTGCTGGAGCTTGGCCCTACTTCAACAATGTCAGTAAAACATTAGAAAGGATTAGAAAGGAAAATGTGTTGTTTGTTTAGAATACAATGTGTCCATAGTGCAGCATTCAAAAGCTTTAACTTTACATGTTTAGTTTAAATATCAAATTATAATTGTTGCAAGGGCTCTTTGTTTTTTGCTCACCTGAAGAGTTCAGCCATTGTTAAATCACAGTACATTGATAACATGTTGGCCTACACTTGAGGAAAAGTAGCACAAGCAAGGATTAATTTCGCTCTTGTGTGAATTTATTGAATAAGCAAAGGAACAACACAACACAAAACAAGCGCCAAACTCTGCCAGCTGCACAAATACTCCTTATATACCATCAGAGTAGCTAATTGGTACCAAACCAACAGGGGGAAGCTCACTCCATACATACATAAAAACAGAACATTTAGCCAAATTGGTTTACAATTTACACAACTGAGTTTACTAAGTCCAAAGCAGGTACAGAGACAAACATCTGTCTAACCTCTAACTTCATGAAAACCCCTCTTTGTCAAAAACAAACATATGCTCTCCCCCTGCTCCTCAAATATGGTAGAACCCGGAAGTATAAACAGACATTGAATGCCCTGTAGACTCCTTTGCCCGAGTTATTGAGGTGGGTAACAAGGTAAGATTATCCTTTGACAATGCAATGGTGTTAGTGTTCAGTTTAGCGTCAAACAATACTTTTGTGTAGGACTTACTTACATAACTTCTAAGAGCTGCAACCAGAGGGTAAAATGGGCCGGAGCCCGCCATAATCCGCTAGAACTGAGCTCTGCCTCCTCACGTCCAAATCGGACTCTGCCAGAGATGACTTCCTTCTCCGTCAAAATCATGTAATTGTATCAAACTTTAATTTTTTTTTTTTTTTAAATCTCCCAGTAAACGTAATGGCATATGGCTCTTGACGAGTAATTCTCTAGACCACACATAAATATTTGAGGCGATTTCTACACCCAAACCAATGTTAACAACCAGCTTTACAGGTAATCACAAACAAACGTACACGTCATCAAATGCATCAGGTGCGAACGGTCTCTAATGGCGGGAACAACACGATTTGAGTTTTGCTCTGTGGTGACTTTTCAAAAGTTAATTTCGGAGTTAGCTAACATGTTATATGTATTTACTAAGTTGTGTTGCCTTGGTGAAGTAGACACGTTCCCACCCCTGGCTCTTGGTTCCGGCCATCTGAATATGAGATACAGAAATACAGTTAGAAAAATTCCTCTACCCCTATTATTTACCTATTAGCCATGCATTCTGTGTACCATTGTGTAACACGTTGAATTTTGTTTTTTTAGGTTATCAACTTGCCACAAGCAGGACTTTCATGCCAGGGTGGTGCCAGACCATGTACAAGGTTATATAGCCTACTGCAGCTCAGCCAAGGTACTGCCAGACCTGAGGTTTTCACTGTAAGCTACAACCATGAATTTCACCTAGGGATAAATAAAGTATCTATCTATCTATCTATCTATCTATCTATCTATCTATCTATCTATCTATCGGGGTTCTGGAGGGAGTGAGGAATGTAACGGGAAGTGGCAGCAAGATGTAAGTGCTGTGTCTACAACAGAAGAAACAAGTGAATTAACATAACGCCTGAGAAATCTGTTTTGGTCAGTATGGTTTTACTTTAAGTCTGTACTGTAAGTGTCACATTGAACATGAGTTTTCATTTAAAGAAATCTTTGAAATCTGTGTTTATACTTTGTTGTACAGTATGATTTCTCTGTTAAAATGTCTTTTTAGTCAGGCCTCTTGCAAGAGATCTTGATACCTGATTAGATAATGGCCATATATACATTGGGGCTTCTTATAGCTTACTAAGATGCATAATATTGCGATACCCTACTTCAGTGGGATTTTTCATGCAGGACTTTTACTTGGAATGCAGTATTTTTATATTGCAGTATTGGTGCTTTTATTTAAGTAAATGACCTGAATACCACTAAGCACATGTATGTTTTTCTTGATCACAGGGATTGAAATGGTGAAAAGGACATGACATCTACTAAAAAGCCCTGCCAACTAACGAGGCTTCAGCAAAGAGACCAAGGGCCCTAAAAGACCAAGTCTTTGAGCACCATTTGGCCATGATTGAGTTTCTGTGGTCAACCATTGGTCACGTTTATGTGGTCTGTCTGTTGACACTATTCAGCCCTTATAATGACTAAGCATGTGGAGACAGTAGTGGACGTAGTCAATGAGAGTGAGATGTCTGACTGGCTGTTTAGCCAAGCCTCTTTTTACCTCCAGCTTTACTTTTCTTCTTCCATAACCAAAAAATCTGATGAGATTCCAACACCACAGCAATACAAAACTTAACAGTGACAGTTCCAACATTTTAGTTACACTAGCAGCTTGGCCTTAGTGTTGGCATGTTAGTCTGTCAATTAGTTGTTCCACCACTTTGGTCCAGACTGAAATATCTCAAAACTTATTTAATAGATTGCCATGAAATTTTGTTCAGATATTAATTTGTTCCAAAAGATAAGACCCACTTACTTTGACTTTTCCTCTAGTGACACTATGAGGTTAAGATGTTTGTTTTTTATTAAAATATCTTGACAACTATATGGATTGGCATGAAATCTGTACAGATATCCATGGTGTTCTAAGATGGAAAATCTGAACCTATCATTTTAACTTCACATTATTGTAGTCTGTCAATAAAGACAAAAAGATTAATTGTAATACTGAGGACCAGTGTGCATCAGCTACACTTACATATACCAAGAAAGTGCAGAAAGATTATTGTTTTAGATGCATTAGAAGATGACTGTTGAGGCATTGCACACCAGAGCAGGTCTCTTCTTTTGAAATGGAAACTATTCAGATGACTTAGTTGAAATTAAGGAAGAAAATTCTGTTATTGAGGGTAACACTTATACTAAAAAATAATGCAGGTGAGATGATGGTCATCATAAAGTACCTTCCAAAGGTGCTGGTTTCTCTGCAGTTCTTCAAAGCAAGTGTTTTGGTGGTCCTCCATCAGTCTTAAACTTAAACTTCTCCCTTTGAACCATATCGGTTTTCTTTTGAGGGGAGATTTTCATGCTTTTTCATAGCACCTGTACAGAAAAAAACGAGAGAAATAATGAAATACCTGTATATGTGGCTAGGATTTTAATTATTTCGGCGACAGACTGCTTCTGCAAAATGTATTTGGCGGAAACACTGTGTAGTGATGTCCTTTTGGATAGTTTTTTCATCTGCAGTTTTTTTAATAGCAAAAGTCTGGAGTTTAACTGTCATTAAAGCATGTAATTTTGTACTAATTTAAGTGATTGGAACAAGTTTCTTTTTCCCTATTGTTTAGTCCATTTTTACTCCTGTTTTTACAAATAATGGGCTTTTTGTGATCCGCTCTAGCTTTTATAAGCACCCTCAGGCCAGTGCTGTTTTCACATACTCACTAATGAATTCCATTGTTATATTTGTAATTATGTGTTACACATACAAATCAAAATATCAACATTGGAAATTTTACCTGGCATTTCACAGTGTTACAAAATATTTGTTTGATTAGAGGTGGGATTTGGAGACTGGATGCATTTTGTGTGCAAACCTACTAAATGAAACACTTGCTTTGTATTTGTAACAGCCCAAAGACAGTGTTGACCATTATTTAAACTTATTCAAAAATCTGCAAAAGCATGTCAACTACTACTACATCATATTCATTTAGGAGATGCTTTTGTCCAAAGCGACTTACATTTTTCACATATACATTGAGAGCTATTGTCTTACAAAATACCTGTTCTGCATGGGGATAGAGGCAGTTTTGACTGAACTAACATCCTTGCAATTATTGACCAATCAACCAGTGGTCAACCGCCTGTGCTACAGCCAACCTGATAACGTGGGGCTGGCTGGTATGAAAAACAATATATTAACACAATAACAGAAGAGCCCCATGCAATATCAGTAATATACAACAATATCTCTTATTGCATGTTATGCATGTGAAGCTGCATTGCATGTCAAGTTGGTGAGTTCATCTCATTGGACTACATGATGTCAGTTAGGTCTGACTGGACCTTTCAGCAACCACTCAAGTATTTAACATCATTATGGGAGATACCTGAGCTGTCCAGCTCAAACTATAAGTGCATGTTTCTTTTTCACCACTCCTCATAATACTTCTAGCAGTGCTAATAAAACTGCAGCCTCACCAACAACTATTAATGTGCATTAGGAGACTTATCGTTTAGTTCAAACATGATAACATCTTGTGGGCCACATCACACATCAGATTTATGTGAGGGCCCTGCAGCGCTCATATTCCCTGCTGTCCCTTTAGGAGACACTCCCCCATCTTGGCTCACACACCCTCCTTCTAAAGAAGGAAGGCTGCCCTGCTACAGCCTGTTGAAACCGGACAACTCAGCTTCAAAGGTAAATATACCCCTCTATTACAAAACACTTAACTGTTATTCGTCCACTTCCCAGCCTGATTATTTGACTTCGCTTGCTAATGTTAAGTCGGGACGAACGTTAACTAACTAAGTTAGCCATGACAGCTGTCTGTGATGAACTGTGGGCTTCTATAGTGCTAATGTTACTTGCTAGCGGTTAGCTACCTAAGGTTAGCTAGCATCACGGCAGTGCCAACGCTATCAGTTTACTGACTGATTGTACTAAGTGTTTTAAGAAGTTATTTAGGAAATGTTAGTTTCAAATAGCGACATTAGAAGCCTTCCCTGTCGATATGAAATATAAGTTGCCTTCGAAGAAAGAGTGAAGTTGTTAACTTTGCTAACTTAAGTTAGCAAGGGTAACCATGATGGTAACTAGTTCAGCCTGGTCACTATCACAAAGTTTAAAGCCAATGTCTGAATGAATTTCACAGATTACAGGAAGACTGCTTGTTCACTTATAGATTAGAAATACTAAGCGTAGCCGTCTAAAGAGTTGTGTTGAAGTCGTTAAAGTAGTTAGTGTGTGGCAGTCTTACCAAATGTATGTTGATGTTTGAGTAACTAAACTTACAACATGTACACGTAGCTACAGATAATGCAGTCTAATACAACGGCCCTGCGGTAAACGTTAGTCAGGACTCTAATGTTTAGTTTTTTGTTGATTTTTATTTTAAAATAATTTGGTAGAGGTTTGAATATTACGGTCATTTTGGAAGCAGTTGTTTGTGGTGCTGTTGCATTGTAATACTGAAGAATATCTCATCACCCCATTTAGCATTATAGCAATAAGGGTGGACTACATATTATGAATGCTAGACTAAATTAGGATGAAGGATGAAAACTGAATCATCACCTCTCTTAAACAGTTTTATAAAAAAAAAAAACCTGATCATTATAATGTTCATGAGGGCAGAATTGATTGCAGGAATGTTGTATTTCACATTTAGCTCCATGCACCAAGTAAATTGCTGAATGTATATTCAAACTGATCACTGTTGTCAACAGGTGGAGAGTTAATCTGTGAGAGAAAATCAGAGGAGGATCCCAGTAACAGAATATCCTACACTCCCTCATCAACAACATGGGGGCTCTTGTCTCACGGTGGAGGGTTTGTATTCAAAACTTTCCTAAATATGTCTTTCTGCTTTATGCTGTTGTAATATAAATTACTTTATTGCACATTAGTTGTCAATTTTATTTGCTTTTTCAAAGAATAAGTTTGACTATAATATTTTAAGCTTATATTTAATAAGCCTTCAGTTTGTAAGCACATATAGGACTTTCACAAAGAATTTTACCTCACCATGCTTTAGATAAATCTATATAAATAATCATAGTTCAGATGTTTATGATAATACTCCTCCTGGCATGCACACACTAACTGAATTATATCACCAATAAGGGAAGAACACACATGACATATGAACAGAATGTGCAAAAGTGGGAAGTGTCCAGATCAGGAAGTTTCCAGATCCTTTCAAGAAGTTGCATGCACAAAACGGACTGTTGCTATTGCAAATGTAATGCTTTATTCTCTCTGACTGAGATTTGAAAATGTTTGTCTTGCAGGCTAAACCATCCACTGTAGAGATTTTGGAAGGGATCGATAAGGTATGTTTGACCTAAAAGAAGGCTTCCACATAGATAGATTGCCAAAAGTGATGTTTTGAATTCTTTAAAACACATTATATTTTATCATTATAGTATAATTTAAGTTTTTCCTTTTTATATTTGCATGGGGTGTAAGATAACAAGCTATAAAACCACTAAAGCACAACAAATTCATGCTTTGTATATTTTGTAGCATTTATTGTCTAACCTGCACAGATGAACTTGTGCACAGTAAAGTCAGTCATTAAGTGTTTCATTAGAGGGATAGAAAGACAAAGCCCCCATGAACATGAAACATTTTCACACAACAATTGGTGTATATAGAAAGAAGATCTTATTTGTTTTAGTTACACAAATTCATTTTGTCATTTAGACAAAAGACAAAACTCTATACATGAATTTTTACAAAAGTGTGCAGATAACACAGTACAGCTTATTACCATTGTGGGGTGGTGGGGAAAATGCCTCTAGCAAGACATTCAACAAGAAATTCTTGCTTTATTCTTTTATGCCATGTTTAGAGTTAAAGAAATGATAACTTTACAGCAAATCTCTCAATGTTGCCGCAGACACCTGCAGTCAGTCAGTGAGTGCAACCAAATGAAGCATTATCAGTAAAACTGACCAAAGGCATCTGTCAGTGTGATGATGCTCAGTAATGTTTATTAAGCCTAGTCGATCCAGGAGCACCCACTCATTCTGTGAGTGTGTTACATGTATGGTATATATATGCATGTTATTTTTATAAAGTGCCAAAATATAGGAGACGGTATGGGAGTCAGATCGTCGGTGCTCAGTGACCGCTTAAACTTGTTTTTGAAATAGAAACAATTCTGTTGATGATGTGTTGTGTAAGCATGCATCTTTTGACTATAAAACAGATGCCTCAATGAATGCCAAATCAGCTCTTCATTCGCTGAGTGATGAAGCTTAGTGCCCTTCTACAGTTAAGCAAGTGTTAGGCTATTTTCAGCACCTGTCCTTGGAGCAAGAGACACTACATATACACTGAAGAGGTCAGGTGGCATTGAAGTTGTGAATAGATGAGTGTTGGGCCTGTTAGTTTCTTCTAGAAAGATTCTGTCATTTCTGATGACAGTATGTTTTGAATGTACAAATTTTTCATGTGCATGGTTACACTGCATATACACAAAGGCATGTATTATATACCGCAACGCTAAATGGGAGATCAGTTTATCCAGGGCTTAGAGTGACAGACACACATGTTACAGTCAAACCATAATGACCAAGAGTGGATCCTATTCTGTACACAAGCTATTTTCGGATGGGGTAGCCGACACTTAAAAGCAGTGGTGTAACATTTCCATTTAAAAAAAATTAAAGATGAGTCAGTCATTTGTTAATTGCAAAATGATAATGAATCGCACAAATAAATTTCTGTTTCTGCCAAGAGGGAAATCTGATCACAATTTGATCAAAACAACAGTTTGGTATGCTCCCACTAGTTAGTGCCTAGGTTGGATTATACTTCTCTCAAATGCTGCATGTTTACGTTTTTAAATTTCCTGTCCTTCTAAGGAAGTTGATGTTCATTATGAAAAGTTCAACAGTTACTCCGAAGAGAATTTGCTTCCATTTGCATCTATGTAAAGGCATGACGCCCATCCAGACTGTTCACAGAGATGGCATTAAGGCAGTGGTCAGAACACTGGCTCTGCAGTATGACATACTGAGCTGCAGGTTTGCAAGTCTTGTTGCACTGTTGAAATAATCTCTGTTCAGTTTCAGACTTGTCCTACTGTACAATATCCTAAAGCTGAAACAAATAGTTACTTTATTTTTCCCTAGAGATTTGTATTACAGTCTATTAAAAATATTTAGGAGAAACAACAATAACAGATGATTTCTCAGTCTTATTTGGAAAGCCTGCTGTGATGCTTAACTTTTACATCATTCCTCCATACCTGAAAGCAGGAACACCAACATGTCACCATAAAGAGTTACTTTGACTTTGTCTCTCTTTCATTAATGGAATCATGAAAGTATAAAATAAAGTAATATTTAAACTAATCAGACTTATTTTCAAAGCAATAAACTGTTATGCAGACTACTTTTACAACTTTTCATATGTGTAAAGACAAAAAGTTCAATACTTGTTTTGTTATTACTTACTGCTTGATTGGAATAAATCATTTAAAGAATAAAACATTAACATCATAGTATTGCAATATGATTTTACTGAAAATCGATAAATGAATACTGAATTAATGCTTCAATCCAAGAGGAAGTCTGCTTTGTGTTTTTGGTGGAAACTAGTCCAGTGGCAGTAATGGTAATGATCAATGCTAATATGTTATTGAAAAAAGGCTGTATGGTGCCCAGCGGTTGGTGTGGCAGTGAAAATGTCATTAATTTAGAGAAAACATTAACTGTTCATCTGCAACAAGTGTCAGCCTATTTCTAAAGAGGAAATGTTCTTTACCTTGTAGGTCAAATATGTGAGTATTGAAATAGTCCTCATGGCTAAATAGTTCTCACTTCTGGCGGGATAGAAATTTGAATGAAAAACCTTTTCATGTACTTACAATCACTGTGTCACTGTGTATCACAAGTTAATAGGAATGTGTCTTTGTACAAATTTAACACACATTCAATTTTTCCCACAGGATATACAGATTCTTGAAGACTATAGTGAGAAGTATCAAAGGCAGTTGAAGATATGGGTCGGGCGACTGCTTCTGTACTCGTCTCTTCTCTACCTGATGACATGTATAATTGTATATTTCTGGTACCTGCCTGAGAAGTTAATGGAGCGGCTCATATTGTGTCTTCCCTTCCTAATAGTTCCCCTATTGTAAGTATACGAGTTAGTCAATCACATTTTCACCATGCTGAAAAAATAACTAAATAACCATCATTTTCTTTTCCCTCTAGAGTGTGGTTACTTCGTAAAATGCTTATAGTTTTTTTCTCACGAAGAACTGAAAAAAATAGTAAGATCCTTTTTGCTATTGATACATACATTACTACATAATGGTAATTTTTTAGGTTCACAGTGGTGTTGAATTTTCTAAGAAACTTTGAATTTTTTTTTCCAGATGACAAATTAGACGATCTTAAAGCACAAAAAAGGAAAATAGTAAGTGATGCTTTTATATTTTTCATTTTTTATCGATGATTTACTCCTCAGTTTTCATCTATAGCTTTCCTTTTCTTTTCAGTTAAAAGACTTGATACCTGTGACACTGCAGGTTGAAACAACCAACCATATCGCTGCAAACAAAACAAAAAGATTTTTAGCATTGATAGAGTTGCACCAAAATGACAAAAGCACAAAAAATAACTTTTCGTAATTTTTCCCTTATGATCACGTTCCTGTATTTTGATTTAAAACTGAGGATCAAGCACACTCAATTTTGCAGTTTCAAAAAACTAATTTTCATGCTACAAAAATGAAACGCTTTGAGAGTGAATTTGACATGGTCGGTTAACATGATTCTTTTCACGTTTCAGTGGGCACACTAGAAAAGGAAACGGCTCATTTAAATTTTAGTACTACATTTAATGTTTTTTATATTCTCATTAATGTCTTAATGAGCCCATGTGTGGAACAGTCAATTAATAATTTCAAATGTAATGTGTAATAATTCAAATGTAATCATTTAATTACAAACAAAGTATATTTGTTCTTAAATAACCTCTTTCTCTCTAGTTTGAAAATATGCCTCATTTAGCAGAGATGAAACAGTTGGTCAGGTGTAGCTGCTTTCAGAAAAGATGATGCATCACCAATACAGTTGGAGACAACAGGTGCTTGTCAAAGTTAGTGAGAAGCATGTCATATTCACTTTTGTATGTTTTTTATTGTTAACATAAACCGTGTCAATCAGTGTAGCAGAAGTAGCCATAAAAAACCATTGCAAAAAATTGCATTGTATCTCTCAACTTTTCATTTTCAGCTCCACATGCACTCCACAAATTTTCTCTCAAATGTCCTGAGCTCAATAGAACTGCAAAGTAACACTTCAAAAAGCAGTTGTCACCCATATGTGGCATTTTGCAGCAAGATGCTCGCTAATCTAATCTAATCCAGACAGGATTTGATTGGTACAGTGACTTAACCCAGTAAACCACTCTGCTAATGTCACCTTAATTAATAGCATTTAGTGCAGGAAAGAAATAAATCTGAGAAATTGCTTGTCATCCTCTGTCAAGTCTAATAACTTTCAATAATTAGGGCTGATGGATTTTCACACTCTCCATTATCGAAGTAGTGAATGTAATTATTCTTCATATTATATGTAAACATTTAGAAATGTATGGTATTTATGTTAAATGAAGATGTACAGAACTTTCTGGTGCCCTTTCTCAGTCACATTTACTTGTAATGTTAATTTAGATGATTGTAATATTAATGTGTGTTTTATAAAAGGCAGATTAATTACATTAGATGATCAACTAATTACATGGCAATAGAGCTGTTGTTACTATAGGAATAATTTCTCTGTAAAATGTATTGAAGATAAGTTTGGTCCATCCTGTAATACTTTTAATATCTGTTTTTTTTCCCCAGCTTGAAGAAGTTATGGAAACTGAGACATACAAAAATGCTAAAATGATTCTGGAGAGATTTGATCCTGATTCCAAGAAAAAAATTGTGAGTTATTTTGTTTTTCTTTGTAATGTAAATGTCTAATTGTGTTGGGTTTATGTCATCTGTATTTAAACATGCTCTTACACTGTCTTGTCTGTGTGAAGGAGCTTGAATCTACTCCAGTTGGACCTCAGATGACTCCAAAACCAGGACAAGGTAACAATGCATTCTGAAGAAGAAAGCACTAATTTCCTTAGTCTCCTCTGGTATTTCATACCACTGTGAAGCAACCTGCAATGTTTTCTATGTCAGAGCTCCGCCAGCGTAATGTCATCCCAAAGACCCCAGTGGTGGTGAATCCTGCAGGCAGTGCTGCTGCCCGCCCTCCTCTTGCCTCTGGGTCCACCTATCCTGGACGATCTTCCCACTCTGCTCCAGGTGGACCCCCAGAGAGGGGCCTGTCGGCTATAGCTGCTCAGCAGAGCTTGATGAGGAAGCCCATGACCCCTGGAACACCTGTTCCAGGAGTTGGTGAGTTACCTGCACACAGGGGGACCACATCATAATGTGGCCGATTAAGGTGTGATTTACTCTTCCCTTGCTCTGTGTCCCCAGTTGCTGAAGGCTCTATGGTGTGTGTTGTCAGCAAGGGGGTTACATGTTATACAGTAGGTGTAATGGTTAATTGTATGAATGTAGTTTTCAAATATCTTACTAAAAGGTTCAACCTCTCTCAAGTAAGTGTATAATTGTGAACTAAGATTAGAAAAAGGCAACAGCTTTTGATACAGTCAGAATATTTACCTGGAGAATATGATTCTTGTGTGTTACATCTGTGGTTGCTTTTAAAGATTTCAAAGCCAGCCAGCAGACAGGATGGAAAACTTTCCATAGAACAGTTGTTGTATATGGAAGACATCTGTGGAGTGTAGAGGTATTGAATATTCAATACAAATTATTTCTGGACTATGAGCACTCAATAGAAGATGCAAATAAGTACAAACAGTAAAGGAAATGTGTTCCTAGAGGAAGCTGCATGGTGTAATTGCCATGTGGAATGCCAACTGTGAGGTATGCATGAAGCAGGATTACATTAACTGTGATTAATTAGCCAGACCTGCGTTTGTTCTCTGGGCAATGGTGTTGGAATCTCACTAAATGTCTTTTAATGCTTGCTGAAATTGCCTTTGGCATTGGGAACACCTCACAAATGGTTTACATGACTTGATGTTATCACCTGCTTCTGTTGAAAATTGAAAGTGAAAAGCAATTTGATACAAAGAGTCACCACAGAGTTTCCATATGTTGGAAAATTAATAACCAGCAGGATACCGAGACTCTGCCAAGTCTCACAGAAATGACCAGTCATCTTCCTATGATTGCTCTTGATGTTAGATTATATTAATTACTACGCACCAACACAGTGGGGATTCTGGACGTGCTTTGCAAGTGAGATCCGGTGTAAAGTCATTAAGAGAAAGGGGCAGGTTTTTGTAAAATTCATCATGGTTTGTGCAGTAAACTGTGAATCTGAGGCTCGCTATTTCAAAGAGCTTTTACTCTAAGCAGGACTGTTTATTGCAGTTTGTATTCAAGACTGCAGACTGTGTCTAACGGGCATTGATGTTGTGCTATAACAGGGATGCATCCCCCAGGTCCACCCTTGGCCAGACCTGTGTTCCCAAGGGAAAGAGGCGCTATGGACAGAGTCGTTGAGTATCTTGTTGGAGATGGCCCTCAGAACAGGTACACATCCCCTGTTTTTAAACAGAGACAATCTCCTTTCGGGAATACTTTTATATGTACAGTCCTTGTTGTAATGTTATGCATTACCTAGTTTCTTATGCATAATACTACATTGTAGTATAATATAACACTGTAATGACACAATATCTAAAATGACTCGCTACATTTTAAGTAATAGAAATCTGCCAGATGTATCTCTTGCTACTGAGATCAGTGTTAAAATGCAGGTAATATCCCAAAAGTAATGGTGAGTTACTTCCACTTGGGATCCATTTGAGCTGTATTTATCAGTAAAAAGATCTTTTATGTAATCTAATGCCAGGTCGTGTACTGTATGCTGTCCTCACTGGATCGTCTTTCCTCCCTCATAGATACGCTCTCATATGTCAGCAGTGTCTGTCCCATAACGGCATGGCATTAAAAGAGGAATTTGAATACATCGGTAAGACTTTGAAAATCACAACACTCTTTGTCAGTCTCCATCAAACACTGTGCCTTCATTTGCCCTCTAGCATTTGGCAGTGTAGTATATCATATGGCTCTTAAATGCCTCTGCCACTACCGACCCCTGTAAGCAAAAACAGCTGAAGATTGAATATGCAAACCAGTGCTACACATCAATCTGAAGTGTTTATGCATCTCAGGCATTTTTTGTCATTGGTTCATATTCATGTATATTAATCCATGTCTGTTTGAGAATGTATTAGAGAGGTGACATAAACTATATGTGTGGTGTTTTATTTGTGTTGTTTCAGCCTTCCGATGTGCGTATTGTTATTTCTTGAACCCTGCAAGAAAGACCAGGCCTCAGGCACCCAGACTCCCTGAGGTCACTGGCGAACTGAAGATGTCACCTGAGACACACTTACCATCGTCTGGTGCTGACGTAGATGACGAGCAATCTGTTTTAGGTAATAATGACACACAAAGAATACACTTCTAAAATCTAATGGTCATGCATCTAATTAAATGTTACCAGTATTAATAATTTTAGAAATACAATTTTAAAATTCTGCCTTTTATTGTAAACATACAATAGTATTCATTTTCTCTTCCTCCTGTCTTTTTTGACTCTTTTATACTTGTTAGAAAAGCATGCATATCTAAACTGAAATATTATGTCTAATTATCAGGGAAATCCAAGCTTGCTGATGCATCTGCTGAAACTGACACCCAAGAGCCAGGCACACTAACAACTGCAGAGTCCAATTCTGTGTCAGACGGCCAAAGCACCCCAGAGTCACAAGACTTGCCCGCTGAGAAATCTGATGGAGAGCAAGATTTGTCTGCCATGGAAGTGGAATGAAGCAGTGGAGTAGTGACTTCAACACAAGGCAGGCTAGAACTTTATTTTGTCTTTGAAGAAACGTGATAGCTTTAAGTAAATGCCGTAAGTTGGAATAACACAGTAACAAGCCAGCACCTGATATGATTTTCAACTTACAGTACACAATGTCCTTTCTTTTGAGAATTGTTTTTATAGTCCTAGCAATAGTAATGAATTAAATCCCAAAGCACTAGCATTTGGTAACAACTGCCAAACAACCCATCTTTCTAATAATGATTACATGTTCAGCCAATTTTCATAACATCATATTGGAACTTATAAGGATGATACTAGATTAAGTTGTTTTTCGTGTTTATATAGGAAAAGTTTTTTTTTTTTTTTATGTTTCTTTTCCTTATTTTATTTGTTTTTGGCTGAATTCTAACATTTTGCTATCTTGGTTAACAGGAAACTGCAGAAACAAAACATGAAATATTTTGGGGGAAAATACATTTTTATTTATGGTGAATTATTTATAAATATTTTTCTACAATGCAGTGCCTTTCATGACCATGTTGACTGGGGTTCTCTTTAGCACAGTAGTGCTAACAAACTGTTTACACACCCATGGTATCGTAATAGGAATGTACTTACAATATGTATTTATTACTGAAAGGGAGAAGATTTATGTCAGTACTGTGCACCTGCTTAAGTGCCTTTTATATTTTAAGTCTCTGCCTCAGAGTATTGTCGATACAACCTATTTACATATAGACAATAAAGTCATTTAACTGTTTTCAGTCTTCAGTGACGGTCTCTGCTGAATGTATGAATTCTGTTCTGTATAAATAATACTAAATAAAAATTTGAGAACATCTGTGTTCATAGTGTGTTCAGGATCACATAGACATTTTTGTTTTTACATAAGTATATATATATGTGTGTGTATATGTATATATATATATATATATGTGTGTGTGTGTATATATACATACATGAAAACACACAATTCATTATTGCTAGATTTTGAAAAGATGATTTTGGATTAACATCAAAATATGAATAGACTAACCTGTAAATAGCCCATGCTGACAGCAGCTCCCTGTATTCCTATTACATGTGTTGTGTGTTTTAAATTGGTGCCCCTTCTCTTTGTCCGGTGTCACACCAAGGAGCATGTTTAAACAGTCCATTTTCATTAGCAGGCCAATCTTAGCTTGTGATCATTTTATTTTAGCTCATTGATCATTTCAGACAGCGTAAGATAATGGTGCTGACGCAGAGCCCGGACAGTCTTGATTGCTTGACCCTCTTCATTTGCAACAAGAAAGTCATTGTGGCTACAGAGCTGCTCTCTGCCATCACATAACCCTTCTCTCCAGAAGATACACCGTAAACTATTGGTGAGGTCAACACCTCACATCTTCTATGGGTCTTGATAATGTATGTTTACAGAGACATGACCTCCTGGGCCTTGTAATGCATCAATGTGACATCGACAGTAACGCCTGATTCCACCGCATGCTGTTTGAGGTTGACCTCTGACTAGAGCCAAACAGGGAAAAAAATGGGACATCAATAGGACGATGTTTGGATGTTTTCACACCATTGGGACGTTGTTGAGTACACATAGGCTGCACATATGTGCATCATCATAAGTAATATATCACAAAAGATCTCTGTACTGTGTGGTTTGAAAATGTATGTTTGAGTAATACTTTTGATTCTGCGGCACTGAATCATTTCTTGACAGTTTGTACTTCATAGTCAGTGGAATTATTATTTGTGTGCAAGGTTTTCAACTCTATAACAGCATTCAGTTTTTGTTTGGCTTTTTTTTTTTTCTTTATACAATGCTTGAAGAATTTCAGACACAGAAAGTTCACAGACATTTAGAGGATTTCTCAGGGAAAAACAAACGGTTGCAAAAGTAAGATTGTGTTCTTGGCTATAGTTAAACAGCTTTGCCTTTGAAAGTATTACATTTACTTTGGTACTAGCATTTGTGTTGTGGGATGATTTTTATCCGGTCTGAAATAGAAGACCTCTTTAGGTACAGTCAATATATAGGATGGCCCTTCAACTCTCTGATCAGGATGTTTACACTATAGGCATAGTCTACACCTAATTGACCATCATCTCAACCTATTACATGAACAGTGCAAGAAAATACTGTTTATATAATGTGAAAGCAAAAGATGCACTCACAGGTTTTTTTTGTCCCATTGTCCAAACACTCAAAGGATTACATCTGGATTGCTATCATGGAAACACTAATTGATTTTCAAGGATGACAAATGACATACAAAGCCCCAGTGCCAAGGTAATTTTGAGCAAGAGATGAAAATGTACAGTGGGGCTGTCCCAAGGTTCATAGTTCTTTTCATACTCATCTCTCACATGTGCATTGGAGGCCACTTGACTTAAATTTATACTGATCTTTTATTTATACCCAGAAAAAATGGCAGATAAGAAACATAAGTGTTCTTGATATTGTGTTTTGTCATATCTAGCAGCCAAAGATTGAAATCCTGCGAAACAATTTTCTGAAGAAATGAAAGAGCGTGCCCTCCTGAACCCTGGAGGAAAATAACCCCGCGGTGCGAAGCAGAATATGAAACAGAGCCACAGAATAAGTAAAATAGACAAGTGCACCAGGCTTGTCACTTTTCCATTTGCTGCCCCCGAGTGTGAGCACTTCAAAATTCTCCTCATCTCAGCGAAGACCTTCATCGTTATGCTCTATCTACTGTACTGAATACGAAAAAAGCACCATATCAGACATAGGTAATAAAGAAGGGGGTTTTAAAGATTTACCATGTTTCTGTCAATCATGAAGTACAATGCAACAGGAAGAACAACAAAGTCATAAAGCATGCAGCATAAGCCATTGTGCATTGGAGACGATGTGGAAAATGCTGAGATGAGTGTCACAGAAACAGTTAACATGGTTGTGATATTAGACATCACCATTGGCTCTTGACAACAGCATCATTACACAGTAATAAGAGCACAATCTCCTTCAGAGAAACATTAAAATCAAATTAGATTATACAAGAGCTTGGCTTGATGAGCATGCGAGGGGTGATGGTTCCCGAGCAGTGGATCTCTGGCTATTAGTGTGAAACTCTTCAGCTGTTTGGACTTGAATTGCCACTTGACAAAGTTGAGCAGCTTTGCACAAAAGGTCATCAGCTTCCGAGAAATTAGTTTTTAAAATTCAAGTCATTTGAAGTCTACACAGCCAGACGGATGGGTTTCCATTTTTTTCACCCCCATGTTCTATCTGTCAAATCACAAATGAAAGCTGCTGAATGCATGATGCCTGCAATAAACCACTGTGCTGTAGTTTATACCAGAGTGACATTCAGGGATCAGAGAGCATTGTCATTCTCTGATCCCTCCTGAACTCATTACACCATTGAGCGATGACATTTGCTTGAGCACAATACAGTCTGACAATTATTACTGCAAACAATCCACTGTTGTACCTTGATTATATATTAAACTAAACTAGAGCACACGCTTTCAGAAAGACAACATATGCATGAAAATATCTATTTCATCACAGTATTAAAAAACTGCCTCGCTTAAAATTGAGTTACTTGCATACACTGGATTAGATACCAACCCAGGGCCAGAATTTATTTTGGCTGTTTGTGCTTTTAATGTCCCTGTTCATGCATAATTTTTGTGCTTGACAATTGATATATTGATTAATTTTATATAGTGTTATGGTGGAACATGCCCCGGGAATCAATAACATAAAAACAAGGTTAACCTAAATTTACAAGTCCTGTCATATGCGGCATAATAATTCAATTACAGAGCAGACTCACAGGCCAAGAGATGACACTTTCTCTCTGTTTTCATGCTGTTTTACTTAAGTATCACATGTTTCTGAGGGAGGATGCTCAAGAAACCACCAAAAACAAAATAGGGACGAGAAGAAAGGCCGAAACAACACACCCATGCCACTACCTCATGTGGAAATCATACAAAGCATCCTGCAGGCAGCAGGTTCATTTTATAGCTTCATCTATTACCACACTGTCATTGTTAATTGTCTTCTTTTTACCTCTGCAGGATTCTCCAAATTGGTCCTATCGAATGTGACAGGAGGAAGAGCATTAAGCATCTGACAAGATGATATCTAAGTTCAATTTCCTACTCCTCACCTGATTTATACCTGCAGCAGATCATTTTCCTTTCTGTCATAAAGACCTCTATAAATCAGTGGTGCTTATGGAAGCACTACAGAACAGGGTCCCTGGATTTGTATCCCCTGTGTTTGCTATTAGGAAGCCATTACAGCCACATTTTCCTCCTTCAAACAAAAATGATCAAATCTAATACTGGCAAGATTAGAGAGATAAAGAGAGAAAGCGCTGGCAGAGCTGTTCAACACAGTCCGCTATCTAAACAATATGCTCTAAACTCAATAAAAAACAGGGCTTTTTGCTGGTGACACCATTATCCATCTGTTTGGACAAAATTGCTGTATCATGGTATAAATCTGCGATACAAGTGACATATCCGCTAAAATAAAAGGGAACATTAACTGCTCTATCTTCTAGAGGCCATGGGACTAGCTGGCTATAAGCTCAGTCAAGTGTGATGGCAGTTATACTGTGTTTTACTAGACTGCAGACAATTATACTTTGCTCCTCTCCCCTAAGAAGACAAACTGCCATGGCTTCAGCTGAAATGATTTCAAATAGATTTTCCAAAATGTCTGTCGCCAGATTGCTTCCATACATTATTTCACTTAAATGGAGAGAAAAAAAGAGGGAGCAAATCCACAAATCAATCACAACAGCCCACTTTACCAGATGGAAAGACGAGAGCTTTCAGTGTGTGTGTGTGTGTGTGTGTGTTGAAGACCTGCAGAGAAGGACAGTTATGGGATGTGCACAGTCTTGTCTCTGCTATGTGTCTCACTCATCTTGAAGATGACTTAGAGTATCTACTTTCAGTGGTGACCTGCCAGGGCTGTAAGAGTGAAATAATGTATAATGAACTGACCCGCTGACTTCTGACTAGTTCACAACTAGTTCATTCAACCAATCATGCGTAATCCATTAAGAGAAGAGCGAAACACACAGCAGGCATCACACACGTTTTAATGCTGAAATTGTTACATAGGCTACTAACTGTATTTTGTAACACAGTAATATGTATAAGATAAGATAAATTAAAATAGGTACTTGAGGCACTTGTACTTTATATGATACTCCACTCTACTCCACTACATTTATCTGACAGCTTTAGATACTTCACAAATTTGATTTTACATACAAAACATATGAACATATGAAAACATATTGTAAAATATGATGCATTGTTATAAATTAAACTCTGTACTATAGTAGTATAGTCCATAGTACCCAGTAGTATACTATAAAATTAAAGCTGAAATAATTATTTGATTAATTGATAAGTCAATCAACAGAAAATTGAAACAATTTTCATAATTGTCATTTTTCACATAATAATATCAATCATTTCATGGTCCCAGCTTCTCTACATGAGGATTTTCTGCTTCCTTTTATCTTAATGATTTTGATTATTTTCTTATATATATTTGAGGTTTGGACAAGCGTTTTGGTCAGAAAAAAAAGCATTGTGGAGATTTATTTGTTACAGAATTTCTCACTGTTTTCAGTAGTTTTACTTTATTTATCAAGAAAATAAGCTGCAGATTAACCAATAATGAAAATAATTATTAGTTGCACCGTAAAAATTGCTGCACCTTAACTACATTTTGAGTATATGAGAATTTTATTTTAACAATGTAGTATCATAACTTTTGCTTCAGTAAAAGATCTCGATATCTCCTCCACCATTGGTTAAACAAAC